GCTTCGGTGCCGCACACGCTAAACCCACACTTGCCGCTCGGCCCCGGCCGAGCCCGACGCAGGGTAAAAACCCGCTTGCGGTGCAAAAGCCCTCGAATCTCCTCGCTAGCCTCCCCCCGCGGCTCAGCGCTGCCGCCTCCGAGCTGCCAGCCCAGCCCCGAGCATACCCCGCGGCCGCTCCCGGGGGCTGCCGGGGAGATGAGGCCTCCCTGGGCCCTGCACCCCCGTCCCGGCCCCCGGCAAGGCTGCAGGGCCGGCTGCAGCCGTCAGGTGGCCACCCAGTAACATTTTACGAGACATCTTTTAAAAAATAAATTTAAAAAATGTCGTGCCGATCACTTGTTTCTGCCTTTTTCCCCCTCTTCCCACTCAGCTGCAGCCCTTGGCCCCACCATGCTGCTCTGCCCTGCAGCGCCGGTTGCTCCCACCCTGTGACACCTGGGAGTGCCCCACATCCCCTATGAAGGTGGCACTGGCGCAGCCCCACGGGGAACCCACTCCTGGCAGGTGCTGGCTAAGGCCCATGAGCAGAATACAGCTTGTTTGTGGCAGGGTTGAGGCCCTGCCAGAAGGTGAGAGGCAAATATTCAAAGGAAATAGAGCAATCCAGACCAGGGGTGCTTGAAGAGACCAGGAAAGCTCCAGAGAGGCCTGGGGGTAGCCCGTGCTGCTTTCCTGGCAGCATTCCCTTGCTATCTATCTTTCCAAGAAGGGAGGAGGAAGACAAGGGCTCACGGGTTATTGCGCCATCCAGGATTTGCCCCAAACAATAGCAGCTGCTCCCAGGCAGCAAGTGGGGAATTTCCCTGGCCGAGGTGGGGTCAGGCGTGCTGTATCTCTGTTCCCACAGCACCTTTGGCTGCTGGTTCCCTAACACATCGCAGGCACGTGCTCCTCCGACCTGGAGAGGGGGCAGGGTAGAGTGGTGAGCTGAACGCCAGAAGGGATGTGAAGATAACCCTCCCCATCTCCTCTGCTTTGAGCCTGGGGAAATATAAAGCCCAGGGAAGACCCATGCCCTAAGTTTTTTAACACCCTCCCAAGCCAGCAGATGGGGCAGGTTGCTTCTAGGCTCTGTGAAAGAGGAAACCACAGCACGGAAAGGCAGCAAGATGTCAGGCATGACAGCAGAAGCAGGGATCCACAACCTGGTCTTCCGGTACCTCCTACGCTCTTTCTTCAGCCCTGAAGCCAGATGCTCAGCAGGACACCATGGGAATGGAACACTAGGCTGGTGTCCCCCAGCCTCAGCCTTGAGTGCTAGAAAGGCTCTGCAAGTGGGGAAGCCCCTGCGCTCCCACATACCTTCTGCTGCGTGAAGGACCTGAGGGAGCGGGCGGGCTGGGGAAGCCCAGCACCGGTAATGCTCAGCCTCCTGATGCTGCAGGGAGCAGGGTGGGTTAGATCACATGAGACCTCAGGTGCTCGCAGCAAGAAAAAACGTTTATTAGAGTGAGTGTTAACTCTTCTCACCCCACACTTATTCTGATGCCATCTGGGGGTGCCAGAGGATGTTCCATCCACCATACAGTGTGTGAAAGGGAGTTCTCTCCTGCTCATTCCCTGGGTAAGCTGGAGATGCCCACAAGTCAGACCCATGGCGGGGAGGGGAAATTCAGTTCCGCTGCTGGGCACAAATACTAAACGAAAAGCCTCCCCTGTGTAGTGCTCATAGTGCCACCTTCTTCCCTCTGGGAAGGCAGCCTGAGGCCAACAAAACGTTTCCAAAGAGGGGAGGAGGGGGATAAGTCTCCCAATGTGTCTCTGCTTCCACCAAACTGCAGGCAGGCAAGGTCCCAGTGTGCAGCAGTGCAGAGCCAGGAGGCAGCCCCGTGGGTTGAAGGGAGTCCAGCTGCTCATTCAGAGCACACAACAGGCTTCCCTGAGATCTTCAGGTCATCGAAGGGCAGCAAGGCGAGGAGCTGCAAAGGCCAAGGGTGTTGACATGTAAGGATGCAGGGTCATATCTCCAGTGAGCTGGGGTAGGGGCCCTGACCTGCTCCCCCCTAGTCCTGCAGCCTCCCACCTGCCCAGGGCAGTGCCAAGAAACCCCGGCTGGGCTTTCCCTAGGGCTCAAGGCAACAGGCACCACACACGCCCAGAGTCAATGCCTACATGCTACAAGGGAGTATGGGCATGCTAGAAACTCCAAGGAGCTCCCTCCAAATAGTCTGAGTCCTGCACCACCCAACATGCTTGCAGAGCCACATGCTTCCCCCTACAGACTCACATCGTCGTTGCCGTCAGCCAGGTCCTGGGCTGTCTCATTCTCCATGTTCCTCAGCAGGGTGTCAGCCCCGGAGTGTGAGAGGATGGCGGCGATGGCGGCATCCTTGCGGCCCACGGCAAGGTGGAGCGGGGTGCACCCATTGTACATTTGGGCATCCACGTACGCCCCATTGCGCAGCAGGAACTGGACAGCCCGGTGGTTGTGGCACTCCACGGCCAGGTGCAACGGGGTCTTCCCGCTGGTACCCTCCTGCAGCCCACAGATCACAAGGGTGTGGGTGTGGGGTCCCCTCAGATGGGCCCCACAGCACCCACTCGCACCCCCCTGATAGGGTGCAGAGTGGGCAGTCGCCACCCTGACCGCTGTCATGGCACCCAACAACCCCTCAAGAACCTTTTCTCTCAGCTCACTGAAAATTCAGTGTCTCCAAGCCCGACAGCAGTGTCTGTCCCGAGGCCAGAAGGTGTGTCCAAGGGAGCCACCCACCATACCCAGCCTCACCCGAACATTGATGTTGGCGCCGCTCTCCAGCAGCAGAGACATCATCGGGATGTTCCCCTTCAAGGTGCTGATGTGCAGACAGGCCAAGCCTGGGACGGGGAGACAGGAGAAAGAGCCCCAGTCAGCCTGGACCACCCTGAGGCATGGCAATCCTGCCTCTGTGCCCACTGTGCTGCGCTCCTAGATCCCTGCATACACAGCACACAGTCTCTGCCCCAACTTGGCCACCAGCTCTGCACCGGGCTGCCCCAAGGTCTCACCTTGCCAGTTCTGGAGCTGCAGGTCTTGGTGGTGCCCATGGGGCTGGGCTGTGCCCTCTGTCGGGGCTGTGCACTGCAGCAGCTGCTGGGCGCACCGCAGGTGCTGCTGCTCGCAGGCTAGGTGCAGCGGGGTGTTGCCATTGTGGTCCTGCAGCCCAGGGTTGACTCCCTTGTGGATCAGCGCCTGGATCACGCTGGGCTGCTCCAGGTACACAGCAAGGTGGAGTGGGGTCTAGAGAGGAGGTGGGGACAGAAATCAGCAAAGAGAGGAATGTCCTGCAGGACACCAAGTGTGATGAGCCATGCCAGCCTACAGGAGCCAGCCCAGTGGCACAGTCAGGCTGCCACACAGAGCCCGTCCCTGTCCTGGGGTTATGCGTGGCTGACATTGGCTTGCTGCACATGGCTTGCTGCCACCCCACGCCTCAGCTCAGGGATCACCCATGGGGGCAGATTCAGTCTCCCAGGTTATCTACCCTGCCACATTCAAGCCATGCCTGCTCCACGCCCCAGGGCTGTCTGTGACATCCTGGGGCCTTGTAAAGGGCCCCTTCACCCTTTGGTGCTGGGAACTGTCACATCTCTCACACAGGGTATCTCCCACCTTCTTCCCCAACCTGAAAAGGGGGAGCTCACATGGGACTTTCACCATGCTCTACAGGATGCAGGTGGGGTATCCTGGAAAAAGGGCAGATGGATTTGGCATCGATCTACAGAAGAGTCTGTGACACCTGCCTTCCTCCCATCTTTTGCCTATCACATCCACATACCTGGAAAAGATCATTTTGGATCTCCAGCACCTCCCTGGGCAGCTGATTGATGCAGCAGAGTGCCACAGCTGGGACGCAGTGGATAATGGCCAGATGAACCAATCTACAGAGGGAATAAAGGGAAAGCAGGAGTTAAAAAAAAAAAAGAGTCCTGAGTGCTATGCGCATGAGCAGAGATCCTTCACTGCTGCATGGAGGAATAACCCCTCCTCCTCTCCCAGTCCCCTTCCCACCAGCTTGGAGCTCCTCTGTCCTGCCCTCTCCCTGGGGAAGCTCAGCAGCAGAGCAAGGCAGGAACATGGTCTGTGGCTCCCCAGGGCAGTCCTTCACTCTAATCCCTACTGGGAAAGGACCCTTCTGTCCCCAAAAAGCACTGCAGTGTTCTCCCTCAGACCTCACAGCATGTGTGGGGATTGACCCGGCACTGCCCAAAGTCAGGCCTCCAACTAGGGCAGGTCTGGAGAGCCTGGATGCACTTTGCAGAGCCCAAGGGCCACATTTGGCAGCTGTGGAGGGAGGCCGGCCTGGGCTCTGGCAGCTGCCCGGGGAATTCCAGCTCCCCACTGCCGGCTGCTACCGCACTTCTTCTTTCCCTTCTGTGAAGGCAGGCAACCAAGGCTGGGCAGGAGCCCGGCACCGGTCCAAGATCACCTGCACGGCACAGTTCCTGTGCCAGCCGATCTGCTGGCCCACACCGATTTCCTCTTCTCTCCCACATATCCTTCCCTTTGGGCATTGCTGTGGCAGGGCTAGCACACAGCCCACTGCCACAGAGGGACACCCGAGAAGTGGCTGTCAGACCTTGGTGGCCAGCTGGGAGCCCATGTCCTCAGGACTGTCACCCCTACAGCCATGGGGTGGCTGGGGAGCCCAGAGCCCCCTAGCTGAAGGAGAGGTTTTATTTCCATCTGGGTCTGACGCTGGCCCCTGTGCAGTCAGAACAGAAGTGAGAGTGCAACAGAGGCAGAGCCGAGAGGGAATTTCCAGTCACCTCTGCCGACCTGCTGCACTCCTGGGAGCCCCTGCATAGAGGGACTGGCCCTCCCGCCACAAGGCAGCCCCTGGCTATGGCAGGCAGCAGCTCGGAGCAGGCAGCAGCTCCCACTCTGCAGAGCATGAGAGGCACGAGCTGAGCCTCCTGCCACCTCCTCGTTGCTGCGCTGGGGCCCCTGGACGGCTT